GTCAGTGTCTGCTTACTAAAGAGCCATGTTGGATCACTATGGATGCTCTTTGTGGCCACTGGGCTTCTCATCCAACACGCATGGTTCTGAGACTCTTCTCCAAATTACCATGTGAGCTTTAATCCTCAACTCTGCTTAAATTGTGATTTGCCGTTAGCCTTAGACTTACTAGCCATCCTACTTAAAGTGGAGGAGCACAGCAGAGGTGGGCAGAACAGGCAAACCCAGGAGCCAGCCTGGAATAAGCGGGAAGCCATAGGTACCATCTGAGCACTTGGGGAAGGATGTTGGCATGTATTCTTGTCTTTACAATATTGATGCTGTCTTCTGGCCAGGAACTGAACTTATTAAAATTTTTTGTAACGATCTTACCAAGATGAGTCTTGCTAGTCATGTAGTTTCTCCCTTTTATGGAAATCTTCCGTCTCCTTGAATGACTTCTTAACGTGCTATCTTGTGAATGACTCAATCATCCTGAACCAATTGAATGGAATGTGGTCCAATATAATGGCTTTCGTGACCAGCATGGAGATTTCTCGAGGTTGCATCAGCCATACAAGCATTGTTTTCAGCCCGAGGTTCAGTGTTAGATAAAATGCTTGCCTGGACCTTTGGTGTGTGTAATTCATGATATGTCCTCTGAGGGGTGAGAGTTTACTGGGATTGGAAAGTCTTATGGTTAGTCTCTGTATCCCGAGTCTGGAACTGAAGAGGGTCTTTGCCTCTCCAGGAGTAAATGTCTGAGGTCCCGAGACTGAGCACCTGTGTGAACAGGGCCAGGCTGTGGGTGGATACGACTCCTTATAGAACTCCAGCTCTATTCTCTAGCACATAATGGTATCTTCCAAGAAAACTCTTTGAATGAAAAATATTTCACTCTCGGTAGGACCATGTGAAATATGGCATTGTCACTTCCCAGTGCCCATATGTAGCTGTAGATCCCTCAGCCCAAGGTCTCAGTGAGCCTTGTTGAGGCTCTCTAATACTGCCTGTGTCGGGTAGTGTCATTCCCACACTCGACTAGAAATTCAGGTTGTCACCATTTGGGGGCACTGTTAAGAACTCATTCAAAAAACGTTTGTTCAGAATGTACAGGAATGACAGCAGCGTTAGTGACAAGCTCGCAGATTCGAAGGCAGGTCTTGATACGTTCTCTGTGGGTGAGCCACTGGGACTCCTAACTTGAACTCAGATGTTTCCTCAGATGGATCTAGAGCCTTCTCCCAAATTGCCTCCGAGCTCTGATCCTGGTTACTGTGTCCACAGACTCGAGTTTGCCATTAGCTTTTGCTCCGCTTCTCAATTCCATGGCATCTATCGACTTCACTGAAATTCTAAATTTTCTTAAACCTGAAAGCAGTGGACACTTGCGGCTGACATTGCTGGTGAGACTTCATTTCTCATAAGTCTCTTGCGTGATACTGTTTCCATATAGCTGTTTCCCTTGAGGAAAAGGTGTTTCTCTTATCAGAACTCATGATCAGCCAGCAGAGATCTCAGTAGAAGCCGTTTCAACACACACAATGTCTGAAAAGACTAGAATGACCTCTTGAGGCAAAGCCACCAGGAGCTTCCGACCAGTGTTATGATCTAAAGTAATATTGTAGCAACTCTATTTGTTGACTGAGTGTTCTATGCCACTGACCTTATTTAAGACTTAAGGTTTAAAGCAGGGAAAACAAACATTTAGTGCTCAACTATTAGAGAAAGTAAGATGACAGCCCCCCTTTTACTAACCGCTCTCCTTAAGTCACTTTTTTCCCTTTTTGATAGAGTTCCAAGCCACAGCTGATAGTGTTTGCTCAGGCAGTAAGAGCTTCTAGGCCAAGGGAGTAGGGAGTCTGAGGTTTTGAGCTGGGTATCATCAGGACTTTTTTGGAGGTCTGGGTTCTTTCCCCAAGAACCTGGGGAAACAGTATGTAGACACCGGATTGAGGGGCCACTGATGACAGGAGTCCTTCTGGTGGCACAGGTCTTGGATCTGTGGGACCTAGTGTTGTCTGACAGTTTGATGCTTGAACTAAAAGCACCAAAGACCATGTTAATGCAAAGCTGTGTCTATGAGCCCACCTTGGAGATCTGAACTGTCTCCGAGACCTACACAACTCCAGGGAGTTCTTAATTTTATCCTTGACAATCTGGGAGTCGAAGAGTTATGTGACAAATCCACACCAGAATCCTCATCTGGCCACTTTGTATTTATCCAAGCAACTATGTAACACAGAAGTGGCAGTAGAAAGAATTAACGTTGGTAAGAAGTTGGTGAAAGAACAAAGTTTCAGTTACACAGGATGAATACATTTTTGAGATCTAAGGTACAGCTTAATGACTATAGTTAGCAGACTAGAAATATTCTTAATGACTGGGGGCGACCTCCATGAAGGATTTTTCAGAAAATATTCCTAAGTTAAAAGACACATTTAAACTTCTCCTGGCAACAATGGAGTAAGAGAGGCCAGATTTATCCTCCCACCTGAAACAAAAGCTGGATAAAGCAAGAATTTTCAGACACTTGTTATCAAGAGTACAGACTGTGATCCCTAAGAGGGGAAGTAAAGTGACCCCTACAACCCGCCCTCCCCCAGTTTATTATCCTGGAGTGGCTGTATCAAAGCAGATTTCAGAGCAAGAAATATTACCAGGTGTAAAGAAAATCCTTCCATAATGATAAAAGATTAATTTATTGAGAAGACGTAACAATTCTAAATGTTTATATACCTAACTATAAATCTAGTATAGTCAAAGAAGTCTAGTATTGGCTTCAAGAAAAAGAAATAGATCAATGGGACAGAGTCTAGAAATAGACACACAATGGAGGTCAAGAGAATTGTTTTTAAACAAGGGAGCGAAGCTAACTCAATAGAGAAGGATAGTCTTTTCAACAAGTGTTGCTGGAACAATTGAATGCCCACACGCAAAAGAACCTTGATCTATACTTTATATATAAAAATTAACTCCAAATGGATCAGAGACCTAAGTATCAAACCATAGAACTTCTAGAAAACATCAGACATCTTTGATCTTGGATGAGGCAAAGACTTTTTTTATTGCAGTAACGTTGGTTTATAACATTATATAAATTTCAGGTGTACATCATATTTCATTTCCTGTATAGGTTACATCATGTTCACCACCCAAAGACTAATTACAATCCATCACCACATGTGAGGTAAAGATTTCTTAGGTAAGTGATCAGACACGTAATTCATAAAACAAGATTGCACGTCATCAAAATTAAGAACTGTTCTTTGAAAGACAACAAGAATGAAAAGCCACGTTCTGGGGGAGAACACTTGCCAATTATGTCTGATAAAGGACTGGTATCAAAACTGTACAAAGAACTCACAAAGCAAAACAATGCCACTCAAAGACTCAGACACTAGCCAGCGATTTGCTCAAGGTTTCCCAAAGTCATGCCTGCTTCACTTGCATTGGTGTCAGTCTTCAGCCCTAGGCTTGATGACCACTCGATGCGATTGGTCTCCAGCCTCATATAAAGGGAATTACGATGGATGATAAAGGTGTGGATCTTAGTTTCTGCTCAGCCATTTACAGTCTTGAGGTTGTGCTGTCTAGCCCAGGTCTGGAACTGAACTGCCCACTAGATGGGCATTTGCCTGTCTTGCCCACTCTCTGGGGATTGATGCTACGAGGTGCCATCTGGGAATGGTGAAATTCTTTGGCATGACTCTGGCTAATGGGACGGTCAACTGACCTCATGATCTGAGGTGGTGTGAGAAAGAAGGAAAGACTCAGATTCTAAAGCACTTGGGGTCTTTGGCCTCAAACCCAACACAATTCACTTGAAAACTGGGTGAACTTGAAGATCTACACTAGATCTTTGAGTGTGACCATTGCAATAGGCAGGACTGTCATTCAGTATGCCACCCTAGGCAGAAAAACCAGAGCAAAATGTTGCCCTCTATTTGAGCTTTTTTCTAAAGGTTTTATCTCCTAGATAATGTAACCCAATTGGTAACTTTGACCTTAGCCAATTCATAAGACTTCCATGCCTTGATCTTTCCCCTATGTCACTCCCTAGTTAATTAACACTTAATGAGCTACTCAGTGGGTATGCAGTAAACAATGGTGCAAAAGACCAAGTCAGTTATGAATTGACTTCTATACTGCAATAAAAATACTGTAAATAATGTTATAGTAAATGTAAATAACACCAACACATTTCAACGTAAAAGCTTTGAGCTTCCCTGTCAGAGGGAAACCCTAAGAAGACAATTGTACATGTACTTAATGCATATAACTAGTGGTAATGTCATGCTAGGGGCAATTCTGACTAACAGTGACTTAGAATTCTTACTCTCAAATTTGGAGAGTTGGGATACACTTATTTGCCCCTCATCACATGTTTCCAAGCCAGTCCATCACTAAAGAATTTTTGCAACAAGTTGAACCTCTAAGGTCAGAGCAGCTAATGACGGGCAGAGAACTAGTGTTTGTCTACAAGAATGTTGTATTAAATAACCTGGTAGCCTTCAGTGCTGGTTAAGCACCTCACCTTCTACACAATGAGCATAAAGGAGGGGCAAATTGTACATTTTGGGGCATCCTAATGGTATTAAGAGCATGAGAGAAGAGAAATGTGCAAATGATACGGACAAGGGATTTTCAAAAGAGTGCAAATGGACAGCCAACACTGGTAAATAGGGAAATGCATGTTTTCACATAAGGAAAACTTGAGACACATTACTGTCGTTGTGGTCAAATCCAGCGTTGGCAAGGATGTGCTGGCAAGCATCTTGGACGAAGGGAGTATGGGGGAAACATGCTTGCCCTTAAAAAAAGTAATAGTAGCAAATCTCACTTCATTTTGGAAATGGACACTGGTGTCTTCACATCATATACACTTGTCCAAACTCATGTGGTCCTTGAAGATTGAAACATTCCCCTTTTTCTGGGTCAAAATCAGGTACCTTTCTGTTGGGAGTCCCCAGGACCACACCCGGTTGCAGTGACTTACTAGGATGCTCATGTGACTCTGCATATAGTTGTACTCGTGGCTATTTACAACAACAAAAGGATACAGAGCATAATCGGCAAAGAGAAAAGGCGCATAGGTCAAAGTCTGGAGGAAACGAGGTACAAGCTTCCGAACGTCCTCTCGCAGTGGAGTCAGGCAGGATGGGCCTAATTCCCCTGTCAATAAGTTGTGACAACAAGGGTGAGATGAGTTCCACCAGGGAAGCTCTTTAGAGACTCAGTGCCTAGGATTTTTATTGGGGTCTGCTCACATAGCTACCTTCTGCTTAGCACATACCCAAATTCCAGACTTCCCAAAGAAAAACATGTGTTCAGGATACACCGCAGTGTTTGCACAAACAGTTAAGAATGGCTCACTGTGCCCAATCAGGGAATGGGAGGCATTCTCCCAAACTCCAAGTTCCCAAACGGCAGCCGGTGGTCGGCCTCGCGAGCTGGCCCTTCTCAGGAGAGCTGTCTCAGGCCTGCTGTGTCAACTCTCTTCTGTACACCTCCCTCTCTGGATTGGGCAATTTCCCTTGTCTGCATCCTTGGAGTCTTGGTGTTGCTGAGAAAATCTGTCCATTGTGAAACTTGTCTTCTGGGAGCATTGACCGATCCATTGAGATTCTGGATTCTACATATGAAATCCCACAGGACCCCATTGTAGCAGTTGCCAGGGTCCGAGAATTGTGGTTGGTATTTAACTTTGCGGCCTAAGTTGTCAAGGAAATTCCTCCAAAACTCCTTCTCTAGAGAGGTGTCAACTCAGCTATGAAGTCACGCTGTGGGGAAGGGGCAAAAGGACTCGGCCACACAACGTGAAGTGGCATAAAATATCTCGGCAGAGCTCTCGAGTTCTAGCAAAGCATTATGTGGATAGCAGAGCCCGAATGGATCAGGTAAGGGTGGGTGGAGCCAGTCAGTGAGCATGAAGTTAGACTGGAATCATCACTTAGTAACTCAGCGAGTTGGTTCCATGGTGTGATGGAGGGTCAAGAGACATTTTGCTCCTCTTGTTGGGAACAGGCTGAACTATGGATCTGAGAATCGAAGACGATAAACCTGTGAAGACGTGATTATGGAAGGAGATTCTCTACATTGGCGCTTTCATATGAATATTGCCTCTGTATCTGTTTATATGCAAGTCCTATGAGTACGCAGACCACCACTTGGTGCCCTTCCATGGGTACTCCTGGTGGAGATCCTAGTCAGACCAAGGGCTCAGTTCACACATTTGGCTCTTGAGACCTTTCTATAAAGAAATAAGGGAGTCATACCGTTTTTCCGAGAAGTGCCCTTTGAGTTTCCTTGGACAACTGGCTCAAAGAAATGTGAAAGTGACAGTTCTCAGCCTCCAAATTATAGCCATGGAGACTCTGATTTGTTTAGGTCCGGGATCCTTGGCTGTGAATATCTCTGCAAGGACAGACATGTCAATATACTTCTCACACTCCTTCTTACCTTTAGAGATGGGAACTCACTCCTCCAAGTACTAAAGCCTCTAGTCCTGAGCTCTAGATCCCAGAGAGAGCAAATTGCTCCTCTTTAAACCCGGTTCTGCTCAATATCTTTAGAATCTGCTCTCTTCACTGCTACCCATGTTCTCTTAGATGTAGGTCTGTGTCCCAGAATTTCCAGAGTGGACCTGGAAATTCTCGCCCCAGCTGCTTCATGCACAAACAGAAGCCCGCCAAGCTCACTGAACCCACAAAGGAAAGGAAGCATTGTACAGGACTCTAGTTAATGTCTAGGAAACAGGAATGGCTCCTAGGTGCCAAGAGAACTGAGTTCCTAGCATCCCGGCTTGGTTCTTCACTGGGAGGGTTACCCTTCCCATGGGCACCTAGTTCTGACGTTACCCAGGAAAGTCCCCTCCACCCCCAGGCAGCAGCGTCAAATCCTAGAGACTATGTACATGGGTTCTGTTCACCGGCCTTCAAGAAGTCAGACTTTTCTCACTGAGCACCCAAGAGAACAGCTAACAAAACGATCCTCACTTCAACAGCCCTCGGACCAAGGAGGTTTCTCAGGCTTGAATGATCCTCTTCTGATCCATAGTTAGGGGCAAAGCCTATGATGAAGAGAAAGGTGACGGTATGTAAAATTACTTCAATGTGGTTTCTATATGTGTCAAGTGTGTTTAAATTTACAGGCACATCGTCCAATTCTAACCAATTTCTGAAAGCGTTGGCATGCAGGCTCCTAACCAGAACTATCATCCAATATTTTAAATTGAAAAACAACACATTCCCAGCCAAGCCAAAACCCCAGCCAATTTCCCCATATATCATTAAAACCCTTTAAAGTCTGTGATAATCTACCAAGGACTTTGGAACAAAATAAGCATTTCAAATACCATTTCCCTAATTAACATTTAATGAGCTTCTTACTGGGTATGTGTGTACAGTAAATGTGCCATCAAGTCATTTATGAATTGACTTCCTTCTATTCTTCAATGAAAATACTGTAATGTTATAGGAAACGCAAATAATACATATTTCAAAGTAAAACTAGGGGCTTCATAGGAGGTAGAATGGAGTGCATACTCACTATTGCCGTGCAGGTGGGTGAAGGAGAATGAGAATTAACTGTTGGAGGAACAGACGGAACAGCCCGTGACCAAGAGTCAACCATGCCTGAAGCCAAGGAACCCAAAAGTGGATAAATATGACCAACCATCTGAAGCCATAGACATAGCGATAGAATGCAGCTCAGAGGGTATCCATTTTAGCCTCCCTTTGCTTATAGCTGTATGATTTGCTTATAGTTGTATGTATAGATGGACGAGGGTACCTTGTGTACCCTTGCAAGTGAGTGATAATGACAAGAGCAGAAACATCCCTTTCAACCTGCACTCACTTTGCAGTTTAAGGATCTGGCACTGACTCGGGCCTCTTTAGTGTCAGGTAGAATGTGTTCCTCACTGGCAATTTCTTGGCTGTCGCCGAGGAGAATGGATTTAGACAATGAAACGTTGAGTGGTCAGCACCATTTGGAATTCCGTGGTCTCAAGAATTCTTATAGGGATGGTAGAATTCTCCACAAGTGGAGGGATAGACAGTCCTCACTTTAAGGATGATAGGCTTTGATTTCTGTGTTCTAATGCGAGGAGGTAGAGGGTACAAGGACTTCAGACTCTGGCCAACCCTCCATTCAGTGCAGTGGAGCAAGCTCTGCTGGAATATTCCTGAGACCACAAAACCAAGTTCCCCGGAGTGGAGCCTTGCTAGGGGTACCTTCGACTTCAGAAATGATGTCAGGCTCCTCTGCAGAACCTAGGGACTCTCCTCCTGTCCTGTGGGGCCCAGGAATGGTCAAAAGTGGGCCTGGAAATACTCTGCTCTAAGTCAAGTGCTCCTCTGGCTTTCTGCCCAGAGCTCTTCTCAGTGGATCACTGGGATCAAAGAGATCAACTAGCCTTTGCAAAGGGGCGTGCATGGGAACTCCTCACCAGAGGGTCAGCTCTTCCCTGAGACTACCACCTCCTAAAGAGGATAAATCCCTCCTTAAAGGGGTCCCTGCACTTCTCTAATGGATGGAATTGTCTGTCTCCTTAGGGTATCCCAGATTTCTGAATGGTGTTCCTGTGTACCAAAGCTTTCATCCTGGTTAATCTGAAAGAAGGGTCCTCTGAGTTCCAGTCACTTCTTGCAGTGATGTCCTGTCCTTCATCAGGAAGTCTGCTGGCCTACGAGCTGACTAGCTGTCGCAGGGGTCGGCTCATGTTGTGCCCTTCTCTTACCAGCCTGCATACTATATGCGTTGAATCCTGGAATCTAGATACGCTTTCTCCCCTTTAGGGTCCTCACTGAAGATGGAATCTATGTTGGATGACTACTCACAGGTGTGGGCAGGGCTGAGGGAGCCAACGAAAGATGGCATTCCTCTGCTAGAATCCCAGGAATTCATTACAGCACTCCCTCTCGCAGAACTGAAAGGGCAGAGGACATAACCAGTGCTCATGGGTCCTGATCGTGGGCTGTAGCCAAGGAAGCTGATGTGCCAAAGGGATGCAGCCACTGGCTGGAGGAAGAAGACTAAATACCCCCACCTCTGTCCTCTGTCACCTGAGGGTAACTGTCATGGATTACATCAACCGGTCCTTTTGCGCTCTACCTTCCGGGTGACTACAAACAGCTGATCCTCTGAGAGCGTGGAACAGGGTGGAGAATGTTCGCAGTGGACTATAGAGGCAAAGCAAATCAGCACACCCACTCGTATCCGACCATCAGCCTACCTCTCGGCCTATGTTCCACTTTAATGAGGATTGACAGTTTCTGGTACCTAGAATGATGTGTACGGTCCTGTCCACCACTGGGGCCCTCTGCCCTGGGGTGGCTCCTTCATATTTGGAGCCTTTTCAATGTTTGTTGTGGTTCTCCTGCCTGACCTATTCCTAGGAGACTCTCTCCATGATGCTCCCAGTACAGCTGTCCTTTCTGATCTTGCCACTATTGCTGCCGTCATAGGGATCCTCACTCTGCCATTCATGCTTCTCTCAGGTTCTCATTGATGCTGCTCTTGCTGCTGCCATTGCCGTCAATTCCACACCTGTCATCCCTGCCAACAATGGAGAGTGAAAATGTTAAGTGCGTAGTAAGTTTTGCAGTGAGAATATTCCTGGTTCTTAATTTTCATCGGAACGTAGTTCTTTGGCTGTGGTTCTCTGTGCAATGAAAGCCATATGCAAGAGGGTGAAACTCATCCATGGCTCAAAAGGCTGGCGAGGATGTGAGGACCTGGACTCTCAACCCTGGAGCGGCCTCTTCATGAACTGTAACAGGAATTATCTAGCATCTTGGAAATGCTCGCAATCCCTGTAGCACGGTCTAGTCTGGGTGAGGCAGATTTCGGTGCTGTCGACATCCCCTGGGGTCTCTTGGCCATTTTCACACCCACTGGCTCCTGAAGCACTTTCCTACCAGCCAGCACCTGTGTCTTACCACTGACAGACAGACCTCAGTCTACTTTGTGTGCATGCGTGGGAAACTAGAAATGCCTTAACCCAGGACTGGCTGCAGGGGTATATATACTCCAGCTTCCTTGCCACCATGAAGCCGACTTCAGTGGTGATTGATGCAATCTCCAGAACTGGCCTGTAGAATTGAGCCAGCTGCCCTCTGGGACCGGGCTTGATCCAAAGGCCTCACATGCTTTCTTGCCTTCCTGCTCCCACTTCCTTGCTTCCCTATTTGGTGAATCCTGAGACCCCTTGCAAATAACTTTCACCCAAATCTCACAGCAAACCCCAAGACAGCAGGCCACCCAGGCTGGCCACGTGGTCATCTGGCTTGGTGTCCTGCACTGTGGAAATTAACTCGGGTAGATGCAACTATGAAACTCAGTTTTCTGAATTTTAAAATGGGCTTAGCGCTCTCAAGAAAGAGGCAGTGAGGTGGGATTCAAACCTGGATTTATCTAGATCCATAGTTAAGAGCATTTACGTGGTATCAAACAGCATGTGTGACGGGGTTGAGATGAAAAGGGAAGGGAGGACAGTGAGAAGATGGCAGAATTGCTGACTAGAATGTCCAATAAGCCTCATTCCAAATGGCCCCGGGCTGTAATCCGCTCTGGGTCCTTATGCTCAGCTCATCTCCCATCAGGCAGTGAAAAACCTATAAAATAAGTCAAATGAACCAGGTGCGATTTTCTGCATGTAGGAAGAAAGATCTTTAAAAGGAACACCAATCTCCACAGGTAAGGATGATGTGCGTAATTACAACTGGACACGAGTGCATTCGCTCTGAAAATTCTTAGAGCTCTATACTTATGATTTGTGCACTTTTCTGTACATATGTGATAAAAAATTTATGGTAAAGAAAAAAATGTGGCTATGTAAATATTCTGACTTAGTGGGAGTCCTGCCCACAATCCTATTATCCTCCTCTTGCTCGAATAGGATCCAGGACTCATCACGATCGTGGAGAGGGAGTCAGACCTCACATGCCTGCTCCTCATGCCACTGCCCCAGGTTTTCCAGCCGCTTTTCCCTCTTCCCAGCACAGCTGACTTAGGGCAGAAATGAGGGGCTGCAGAGGAGAATGTCGGTTCCTGCCCTAAATAAGTAGCTTGGCTTCTGTCCTTGCCCATCTACTTGGCAAACTCCCCCAACTTCTAAATCTCTTCCCTGAAGAACTCCGTGGTCCCCCAGCTGAGGAGGGGAGGCTGTCATTTCTCTGAAACCACCTTCCTCCCAGGCACCCAGATGCGGAGGCTGAGAACTGAGCCAGGCGTCTGTTAGTAAGGCCGTAAATCAGGAGGCCCCACACGGGGTCAGGCCTGGTCAGATTGCTGATGGCATTAGGGTAACGAATGGGGAGTGGGGTGTTTATGTTAGTCTTGGCTCTCGAGTTGAAGGAAGAATGCCGGGATTTAGCTTCGCGATAAAGTCAGCACCAACACATCCTGGGTCAGCAATTATGTTTTAAAGATCCCTTGGGAGGAGCTGGGGTGGAACCTCCCTGGGGAAGTGTGGCCACCTGAGCAGGCTGCCCTGACGTGGGAGTTGAATGAGGCGTGACACTGATGGAGGGAGGCTGGGCTGAACGGGAGACTAGAGCTAAGACTGGGCATAAGGCTGTTGTTGGTGTTGTACTGGAAATGCGTGCACACAGACTTGTGTGCTGTGCCCCCAGCACTCTGCTTGTCTCCTTGGAGAGTGGATCGGTTTGTGTTAGTAACTGTTTCCTGGAAGACCCGGAAGTTGGGAGTGAGAGCAGCTTATAGGGAGGGTGGGTGACGCCATAAAGGAGAGGAAGCAGAAGCAGGAAGGGAGAATCTGATTGTGATGCAGACCTGAGAAGGTCTCAGCAAGCCCGCCGGGGGCTCTAGAGCAGACAGTCCATTAGAGCAGTGTCACACTGGGCGGAAATGGCGGGGCCTTAGCACCCCGCTCTACTCAACCGTTAGCTGGGGTTGCCTGGGAAGCCCACGGTGACAGCTGAATGCTGTGATGGACCCCCCAAGACGCCACAGCTATGAGCTGTCCTACGACTAAACAATCAGTTCTTTCTTGAAGGGGCTGCAAGCAATGCACCTCCAGGGCTGCTCCATGGAGACTGGCCTGCCCGCCCCCACTTCCCCTTCCAAGAATTCAAGTGCTTTGGAGAATCTGGCTGATGCATCCTGATAATGCACCCAATTTAACCTGACGCTTGTAGAATACGTGGTACCTGTACCTGTTTCATAAATATCTGAGATCCTAATGGCAGGCAGGATCCGAGGGGTGCCTTAACTGCCTACTCAAACCTCCTTTCGCTGCATCCCCATTTAAAGCTCTTCTAAAAGCCAAAAGTCAAAGGATCTGGAGCTATGTATTTAATAAATTCAATGTCTCCAAGCGTCTGCTTTGTTGAAGACCCTAAAAGCATGAGCGAGAAGACGGGAAGGAGCTAACATAGGTGCCTGCGGTTGAAGTTGCCCTCGAGTGACAAACGCCCAGTGCTTCCAGGCTGGCGCAGAGTGCCAGCTCAGTCCAAAGCTAACCAGGACAGGGAAAGTGCCAGGCAAAGAGGCGGATGTTTGAGGCAGGCAGCTGACCTGCACTCAGGACATCAGCAGAGTGGCAGGTTATTTTCCAAAAGTGATCACCACACTCTCTCTCATCCGTTTTTGCCAAATCCGATCAAGAGATGGGATCCACATCCTTGGCCCCGGAACTCAGACCCGCCTTTGTGACAGCCTTGGCTGATAAAACACAGCAGAAACGACCCCGTTTTCCAAGACTAGATCATAAAAGGCAATCTAGCTTCCACCAGGCACTCCTTCTTGGAAACTACAACCATGCCGTAAGGAAGCCCAAGTGTCCCCGAGGAGAGGCCCACCTGGAAAGGAACCAACAGCCAGCACCAACTCTCCAGGCATTTGAGTAGGGAGGAAGAGCCACTTCTAAGACGCTCAGTCAAGTTGCC